GGTCTGAGAGAGAAGCATTATGTTTATTATATTATAGATTACTTTCTAATGTTCTAAGACAATTGTGTCTGTGCAAATAATATTTGATCTGCCCCAAAGATTCACATTATTACATATTGTTTGCTATAGATCAAATGTAATGTTGCATCAACAAATTAGAAAAGTTCATTTATTTCACCAATGCAGTTCATAAAGTCATAGTGTTTATTTCTGTTAATTTGGATGATCATACGGTAACTTAAAATGCAGTTGCTCAGAAGATAGAAATATTATTTAAAACCAATTAAAAAAGGATTTCCAATGCAGAAATGTTGTCTAATGTGTTACACATTCCTGGGGAAAATGCAGACTTGACAGTTGTACGGCACAAAGTCTTGACACCCTCCCCAAACAGGGTACGCTGAGAAAGGTCAAAACTAAGTACGCTGGATGTTCGCAAAAATGGTGGATGTTCAGAGTGCTGTTTCCAAACATATTCATGGAAAGTTGAGTGGAAGGTGTGGGTATCACAAGGAGAGAACTGTCTGATTATTTACCACTCATGATCCGAAATTACTATAAGAAACATCTAACCTGGACTAGAAAAGGGACTGAATAGTTGCTTAGTTTAACATTCTGTGCAAACATTTGCAGCTGTGCTTTATTTACAAGACTATCATTTATGCCCTTCCTTGAATTGTTGTGTGGTCCATTCTTGATCGCTCGTGTCCCATCTTTGACCGTAGATCTCTCAGTTGTCATGCATTCAGGAATATTTTCCTCGGAGGTTTGAAACAGTGGGGGGTTTCTGTGAGCTCATACTTGTACATTTTGGAAAACTCCTGAACATTCAAAGCCACCGGGCATAATTAGACAGCAGACAGCTGTTTCACATAACATCTACAACATTTTTTATGTTACTCTGCTGACCAGTAATTCATATGCTTTAAATTTATTAAACAAATGTTAAAGCAACTCCTTTAATCTGAAACCATGAGCGACTGGTGGCTTGAAGGGAAAATGTAAGCTGTTCCATCTTTCTGCAGAGTAAAAACATGATCAGGAAAACTGCCTTCTTGTCACCAGGATTCATTATTCCCCTTGAATTCATATTTTGTTCATTTGTTTACTTGTTTTGGGGATGGGATATGGGATAAAACCAAAAATAATAAACTTCCTTACTGAAGTAATCTCCCTGTAATCTCTTTGTCAGGGTGAGTGCATTGCTGTTTTTGCCAAAAGTTTCCCAAAGTAAACTGGTAGATGTTGCGTTGTTTGGAAATGTTGCTTCCCCGTAATTATAATCAGTGGCTGAACTCACCAGAACTGTTTGTCCAGTCTGATCAGAGTCGATGGGAAGACGGATGGAGCTAAACAATGTCTGGTAAAATAGCAGCTTCGAGATCTGACAGAGGTGTTTTACGCTTTCACAACCTGAATTATTTTGTCCTGTGCTCTATATGTAGATGAATTGTAATGGATCTTAGCAGATTTATTAACATGCTGGGCTCCAGTGCTATGAATTGGTGACAAGAATTTATTTCTTCAGTGTTTTACCTTGAAAACTTCCAGTATCGCAACAGTTTTTAACGAGGAAGCACATAAGATAAATTAAAATAGTTCAAATTAACAGCAGCATAACCTAAAACATAATTATGTGACAGTTTTGTTGAGTTTATTCATTGCTATTTGTGCATATTTCACCTCTCGCATTGAAACAACTTGGTCTTTCTCTATCACATACATGGTATATCCTGCTCTCAGCGCTCGATCTGAGCAGAGCATCTGGCACTTTGCTGTTACAATGAGCTTCCTCCCCCCTCAGCATGCTGAAGTTACCCAACACCTGTCGTTAGCTGATCATGGTCCTATCAAAAATAATCTTCAGTGTCTTTGCTACCACCCCAGGAACTTACACATTACTGTTTCACATGATCCTACATTACAGTCAGTGTGAGGTTATGCACCGTGACGGCCCTCCTTCTGCAGCAGAGCCTACTGTGTGATTTTTCTTCAGTGGCTGGCTTCTTACAATTTCACTTTTGCTGGTACAACTAAAAAAGAGAGATATTATGTCCAAGGAGGGATCTATTTGGGTTCATGTCTTCTTGTGTATGAAAATAACTACTAAATGGAGTAAGCTGATTTCTTTATTTAATTTTTTGTGTGTGTGTGAAATCAATTGCAGAAAACTTGAAAAGCAAAGCTAAAAAGATGACCAGAAGGTTGGGAGGGCTGAAATTAGGGTTGGAAAGAGGATTGGGTTAGATTGGGAATCCTTGCAACCCAAGCTAACGCTTTTTGAAGACTGAGCATAATGTGAGCAAAAACCTGAAGATGGATTTTATGAATTCTGTAAAACATATGAAAATGCTTAAATAAACAGAAGTAGTTGATAGATATGACTACATTTAAATACTTCAATGGTATGTCTAGCTGAGCACATGTGGAAGTAGTTAGCTGTGAAAGCTCAAAGTTTTTCTCTGATTTTTTTCAGAAATAATGTTATGTTCTTGTTCACTTCAACAGGGCCCAAGATGATCCCAAAAAGTATATTTCATAAATCTTAGGTGATGTCAGTACCAACAGACATGGCAGTGATATCCTGAATGAGCAAAATATGGTAAGAGTTGAATGTTTGCATTGCACAAAGTGTGCAGAAATAGTTCAGAGGCGACCAGTGTATGAAAAAAGATGCTTTCTTGACCAGAAAGCATCTGTTTTCCTAGTTCTGCAAACACATTCTATGTCCGGACAGAACATGACATAGAAACAGGACAATCTATTTTTCAGAAAGCATTTTTTCACAGTGGCACCCATGCTTAACTCCAGTAAATACTTGGACATAGATGGATATAACAGAGGGAGAAATGTCGACTGCTGCGTTGTCTTTACTAGACATTTGAGTTCTGTTTAAAAAGGCAGAAAGTTTACCTTTCCTTCAGGCGATCTGAGGTTAGGCACCAACATAAAGGTTGCAACTCATCAACAGTTGGGAACATCCTGACAAGAGCATTTTACGACTGAAGACCATAAAATCTACAGTCTAGACAATTTATTGCCAAAACAGATGGGAAATTTGATCCCCCCCCCCCCACACACACACACATTTACACATCTTTATTGATTTCTTTCCAGATTTGTGCATCAACGTCCTCTTTTTTGTCTCTGGAATGCGGAACAAAACCGGTTGGTGTATGGTTTTGCAGCCGCAGACCTTTAATGTGGGTCAGGATTATGTCTTGGTTGTTTCCCAGGGATCAGACTTTTCACATCTACCAGCAGAAACCTTTTTAAGATTTTGAAACATGAGGGATCATGCTATTCCTTATATCTGTCTTGGCTGTGCTGCCCAGTGTGAATTAAAACAAAAATTATAACAATCCTTGATGGCTTTACATGAAAAACCAATTGACTTAGCGGTGACTTCTCAGGAATTTAGTTGGTACTTTTCAAAACATTATAAAGTTTGCTTTATAAAGTTCTGAAACTAAATCAAATTCATAAAAACATTAGTCTTAACATCACCTTTGATACTGAGGATTACGCAGGTCTTACTAACAGGCTGAAAGATTTATTTGCCATTTCTGCCTGTCAAAGATACAATTGATTTTAAAATGTTAGTCTTTAAGAGCTCTTAATGGACAGACCACTGTGAAATGTGCAAAATAAATAAATAAATAAAGTTTACTTACTTTCTTACATTTGGTTAATTCAGCTTAGTTATGTTGTGATGTATTTTGGTGATCGATAGTTATTCTTGTTTTTTGCAAACTAATGCGTTGTATTGTAAAGTTTGTACATGCAGATGGTTCCAAAAGAACAGAAGGCAGTTGATTATTATTTGAATGAGACTCAAAAAGATATTTGTGTGTTAGTATAAACCTGTATGTTGATTAAAAGAACAAAATAATAAAAAAGTTTGAATGCCACTAAGTAATAGGGAATGTAGATGCAATCCAAAGATCACCCTTTCCTGTGGGGCTTGTCCATGTCCTGCATCTGAAGCCAGTTTGAACATAAATCACTGGACAGCTTTACAGTGTGGGAGACAGGAAGCCAAAGGGACTTTAAACACAAAACTTTCTTTCATGATCCAGAGCTGACATCAGGCAGGATGGCAGGCTGCCTACACATCTGCAAAATACAGCAGAAATCAGAAAAATATGCAGAAAAATAAAGTGTATAGAAACCTTACACACAGATTTACTCTGAGGAAAACAAAAAACTGGAACATTTAAACTACAAGGGATAATGAAAGAATATAATAATAATAATAATAATAATAATAATAATAATAATAATAATAATAATAATAATAAGAATAATAATAATAATACATAAAAATTTGTAGTTTTTACTTACATTCCTTTAAGCAAAATTCAAGATTTTTTACATTTATTTTTCAGTACCTTTTATCTTAACGAATGAAGAACTGTTTCAGATACTTAATTGTAAGACTATACATAATTTGTACGTGGATTTAAAAAGACTCTTGTCTTACCTTTACATGAGTGACATGGATAAGAGTCACTCAAAATGACAAGGATACATTTCAGCATTTCATAATTTTCATATCAATGCGTTACCCAATAAGAAGAAGAGCACAAAAATAAAAATAGAAATAGAATGCAAAGTATCTTCACTGAACTTCTATCCAACAGCACAACTGTGTGTAACACAACCTTAGTTATTTCTGGACTCTGCACAGAAAAGACCAAGCACCCACACGATGTTTATTTTTAATGCACAAGACATTAATAATGTCACTGGTGAATCAAAGATTAGAAATAAGAAAACATTCCGGGACTTGTTTGAATAATCAATTGTTTTATCTGAAGCAGCGTTGGTAGCATTTTTAATAATAACGACACCCATGAGTAGAAGAATGATAGTTTTTTTAAGCGAATTTGAATAACATTAACCAAAACTGATCACCAGTTGGTGGCGGTAATGTACACTGAATAGCTGTTTGCCAGCCGCCTTCCTCCAGAAGACGAAGAAGACTAGGAGGAAGAAGAAAATTAACGTGTCTTTGTGTATTAGTTTGACCACCAGAGGGCAGTAGACTTCTAACATCAAGAGGACTCGACAGGAACTGAAAGAAGAAGACTAAAAGCCGCTCCAGGATCAGTTTGAATGAGCCACCAGCTTTGATAGTTTGTTCATTTGTTTTATCTAACTGGTTTGTTTGGGTTATTTGGACTTGTATCCTGTTGTGTAACGTTATAATGTCCGGCATACCTCCAGACACATGGCAGCCGCCCACCGTGGCTATGGAGACCACGTCAGTATGAAAACACTCCATGCTAAACTTGCTAGCTTTCATTTTTGTGCGCACGGAGACGTGCTTATAAATCCAATTTAAAAAAATGAATGTACTTATGTTAATATCATATTTTCACTACGAGGTGCTGCTGCAGAGCATGTTCTGCTTTTAACGGATTGACACTAATGGCAACGATGATGTGTTTTTAAGGATGGGGACGGTTCTGGTGGAGCTTTACTGGAACCATGCCCCCAAAACGTGCAAGAACTTCGCAGAGCTGTGCAGGAGAGGCTACTACAACAACACCAAGTTTCACCGGATTATCAAAGACTTCATGGTGCAGGCGGGGGATCCTACAGGAACAGGTGGGTTTAACACAAAAGAAGGAAGGAAATTATGCATGTCTCTTTACAAATAACTTTAAAAGTTTGGAGCGCTTTAACATTTAACCTCCATTATTCTGATGCTCCGACTTAAAATCATCATGTTGAACACAACACCTGAATTCAACACAACATGCAGCCGGAAATGCAGTGCAGTGATGTAGATCAGGGGTCAGCAGCCTTTGCTCCAACTCAACAAAATCTGTTCAGAGCCACAAATACAAAATGTATCTATAAAATAAAATATCTAATTGTGACATGATCTGCAATAGGATGTTTGTTTTGACTTTTAAGCCAAAAACAAAGTTAATTTATGTTTTTGGGTTTTAAAATCAAATCAAATGTTTATATTGCAGGGAATAAATTTTCTGTTAGCACAATGTTACAATTTAAAGAAAATTATGTAAAAAACAAACAAAAAACATAGTTTGCAGCCTAGACACTAAATAATTACTTCACAAAAGTATTCATTAATCCAACAGCGTAAATGATCTGCTAAGTAGTTTTTATTTGTTATTTTAGGACTTTAAAAGTTTGCTGAGAAGATTTTAAAAGATTTTATTTAACAATGTTGGTAAAAAACAGTTTGAGAGCCACAGTGGAGGATCTAAAGAGCCACTTGCAGCTTCTAACTGCTGGTTTAGCTCAATATAATATAATAATATTTTTATGTCAGGGAGCTCAGTACAGATGCCTGTTTTTTAAAATTCTATGCCCACTGAAACCTTAAATTTAATCAAATAACTGAGTTTATTTAGCACCATGAAAGAGGCACATTGCACCAGATTTAGCCTTATGTACAATTTTTTGTGCATAGGTTTTGTGTGAGCTTTGATATCTTATAATGTAGGATTTGTTTTAATCCACCAGATACAGGTAATCAAATTAAGGATTTGATTTTTTTTTTCTAAATCTAAAGTGTCAGATTATGGTTCTGCTGTTAAGCTCAATTTATTTTAAGATTTATGTTTGCCATGTTTTTAGTAAATGTATGCGATTTTTACTTTGTTTGGTTGGCTAAATCTGCAGCTATTGATCTTTGTTTTGACCCTCAGGTCGAGGCGGAGCCTCCATTTATGGTAAACAGTTTGAGGATGAACTTCACCCGGACCTGAAATTTACAGGTAATCTCAGGGGACTAAAAACATGTCAACACATAGGTGGATTTTATCCACATTCAACATTTAATTTAGAAGTTTAAATCAATAAATGTCATTTTTTGCTATAATTTGTCATCTTGTGACTGCCCAGAAGTGAGTTGGTTTTTCTGTTAAGATCATTTGCATCTTCAGCATCTGTGAACATCAGACAATCACCTCTCTTTTCTTTTTCTTTGTTCATCTCTTCAGGCGCTGGAATCCTGGCCATGGCTAACGCAGGACCAGACACCAATGGAAGTCAGTTCTTCCTCACCCTCGGACCCACGCAGTGGCTAGACGGGAAGCATAGTATTTTTGGAAGAGTGTGCCAAGGCATGGGAGTGCTAAACCGGATCGGGCTGGTGGAAACAAACAGTCAAGATCGTCCGGTCGATGATATTAAAATTGTCAGAACCACTTTACCTAATTAGACAAAACGTCTTTTTTAATTTGTATTTTTTTACTGCTTTGGAAAATAAATGTTAAAACTTAACAGGAGTTTTTTTTTTTCTTGCAGTGTTAATGCTTAGAGACTAAAGGAATGATGAAAATTACCAATATCAGGCAAAATTAAAACATATTTATCTACATCAGCTGTCCTCTGGAAAATTCATGCACATCTTTCTTTTTATGGAAGTCAGGAAGCATTTAAGCTCATTAGTGCTTAGTTTGTTTAGCATCAGAGAAAAAAGACACATTGCACCAATGTATAATGTATATTTGTTGTCCTAATGACGTAAAACCAAATATAATATAAAAATCAAAAAAATATTCAAAGTTAAAAACGTTCATCCCTCTTCCTGGGCAGACCATCCTTTATCAATTTATGTAAACTAGTAAATTAAGTGCTTTGCTATCTGGCTCAGCTCTTCACCATCTCCATTAAAAGATATAAATAAATCCCTCCTATGCAATATTATTTTTCTTAAAAAGAAATAAACACATTTCTTTGAAACTCTCCACCACCAAAGTGCTGTCAAAGAACTTGCTGGATGAGGCACCAGATGGATTCACCTGGCTAGAATAAATTCAGAGGCTTAATGAGACGATGACTGCAGTTAGCTTCAGCTTTCTAAAACGGAAGAACTGAACAAGTCAGCCCCACAGTGGACGACATGCGAACAGCTTTTTCTGTTCGACATGAAGTGGGGAAAAAATGCCAGATTTTGTGGTCTAAATATCCCTTAATTGAGTCAATTTGTTCGAAAATCTCCAACTTGAGATCATGCTGTCTGCATATGTGCTTCAGATATGCATGACTGTGCTGTTATATTTGCAAGCCTTTATTTTTTTTTTTACATCAAGTAAACATTTTTCATAAGTGCTTTTTTAATCTTTTTTCTTTTTTTTTCATTTTTTTAAAAACAACTGTCACTCACTCTACAAAGACACAATAACAATGAACAAAGTTACTGTATTTTACCCCAGAAAGTATTTTATTGTACAACTTTACAGCCATACTCACAGAGAAAAGGCTTTATTAAAGTAAAAAAATACTTTGTACCAAAAAGATATAAGGCTCTGTAAAAGTTATTTTGTAGCTTTTCAAAAGTCATAAAACATGTTTACTTGGTTCATATAGTGCATAAAATATGTATATCTCATGTAAAAAAAAAAAAAGTCAGATAAAAACCCTTGTAAGTAGTCACATCAAATTAGCATTGGTCCAAAATGTCCTTATAGCATATTGTCTTGCCTGCCAATGGATAAAAATCACACCATAACAGTTTGGTCTGGCCACAATCAGAATAAAATGCCTGATATGGCTCTACTCAAATGTAATACACAAATTTAGCACCACAAAGTCTTTAAAAATATATTTTCTTCCCAAATCTAAGTTCAGAATTGCGTCTTCCTGAAAAACCTAATTAGCTTTGACTTTGAATGTTTTTCTTTACACATTTCAGCATAGTGACGTAAATACTAGTGATACTACCACAATATAAAACAGCTTTTATGCCCTTCCTGTACATTAAGAGCTAAAGTTACTGTAAAGCTATATGCATTTGCACTGAGTACTGATGTGTGCTGTATCATCACCGTTATTTGGATTTTCTTTGTGTTGGTAAACATCGGTATGGGGTTTGTGTCACTGCTAGACATCTCCAAAACATTTCTTCTAATACACCCGTGAAGATGCTACAATGCCTGATTGTCAGTAAGGCACATACTATGCAAAGATCCACATACCGACTCTTTTTGGAACATCAAACATGATATAACATTCAACAAAGGCACCTTAAAGGCTCTCATTGGCTAACGAGTGCGTAATTACTGCAGAGTGGAAACAAAAATGATAGAGATTTTTGGTATTATCAATTTGTTATTACTTTAGTTCATATTCGGTCTAATGTTATGTACTGACCTGGAGGTCAGGACAGTCTGTTTCATCTTCATGTGAGACAGTTAACTCTGTGTTTCCCAGACCTTAATTCTTATCAACCAGAATACCTCCTAACTGCCTGTGAGCAGTCGTATTTTGTCTCTTGTATAGTTTGACCTAGAGCTGAACTGGGCTCAGATCGTAGATCAGATATCACACCTGGAACTGAGTTGCTGGTTTGTTTAGGTTAAATGTTTTACGACCTCTGTTGTTTTTTCTGGCTGTTCTGCTTTGACAATAAAACAGGGGCTCACGCGGAGGCAGACCAGAACTCTCTGTGAACGGCCTGGAGAGGCGGTTGGCGGAGATTTCTCCTTTTGCAAAAGCTTTGCCTTAAAATTCATATATGTTGTCTGTGGTTCTTTAATATAGGTTCGAGAAAAAGTACCTATCAAAAAGCAATGCAGGTTGCCTTGTTCCTTTAATGTGCTGTACAAATAAATTGGGGGTCAGCACTTAGCATGTTAAGGCGAGGGTTACTTAGATCACATATATAACATGCTTTTGGTAGACTGCTGTCCAAACCCATATTACATCATAAGTTCAATGCCCTATACATAATATCTGAGTCCTTCCAGGTAGTCAAATAATTTTTAGCTAAATTAATCAGAAAATAGGTCAGTCTCCCTCATTGTAGCGTCTACTTCAAGCATTCCACATTCTGAGGGTAGTATATCTTCTTGACTGTAGACATAATGTTTGCATACCTTAACATAAAATTGCATGTGCAACATATATAGTAGCGGGTTGCAGCCCAAAACCAAACTGCATCATCCTGATGAATCATTACTGTGAACAAATTACATCATAGAGAAGCTCATAATGTAAAAATCAAAACCTTTTTATGAGGCCACATTTGTTTGTTTTTTCTACACTTTATGAAAGTTCAAACATCTTGTGCTTTAAGTTCATTGCCCTGTGCGTTAGCTAAATTAATCAGAAATAGGTTTGCCTCGTTTTTCGTTGCCGCCCCTCACTCTAAGCAGTATGTATTTATGCATCATTATCATTGGGTCATTGCTGCAAAAGCGGAGTATGTCTGATATGTATGGACTCAATGTTCTGACCCTCATGCCTCTAAAATATTCAACAAGTCCAAACATCAGTGACATCATGGCTTACAGCTGCAGTTTACATCACGTCTGCTAAATTATCAGTCCCATAAAGACAGGAAGGATGGAGAGGTATTTACTTAAAGCTGCATATACATTATGCAGTATGCAACCAAAACACAAAGTAAAAGCTTGAATAGGGTATAACAATCTGCTGCTGTAGCTGGTTAAAATAAAATAGAAAATAGAGATAAACTTCCGTCACGTCTCATGAACAATCCCACACTGATGGTCTGTACAGAGGTCACCCACCAAAACAGAAACCTGCGTTGAGCGGTCAAGCAATATTGAAGAATTTCCACACAGTTCAGCCCCTAAAGCAAAGAGCTGTCAAGTTTAAACTGAAACTGAGTTTTTGGCTTCTTGTGAAAGTGGAAAGATTTAGTGCCAAGCAAACATCGGTTGCCATTTAGCTCCTGCTGTGAATGTGGAATGCAATGCAAATAGTTGGTATCAGCACAGTCTCTAGTTGACAGTCTTTGCTTAGGTTGCAGTGTCTCAGTTATACTGTTGGTTTAACATTCAAAAATGTGGAGTTTGTTTAAGCTTTTGAAAAGTGAAACAGTTTTTGGTCCTTTATATTCATACATATTTGCCTCTTTACAGTTCGCAGACATCAAAGGGGAATTTCTATGTGACAAAAACGTTTCCTTTGACAAAGTGGTGTGAGCTTCCACATATCAAAAGTGTCTTAATTTCATTTAATTATTTATTTAAATAAGTTCTACTTTATTTATTTAATACTAAATACAAATTAACTGATTTTAAAAAGAAAGATTTCTAAATTAATAACAAACACCACATATTTTAACTGAACAACCTCCGCAATACAAACTAACCTCAAAATTAAGACAATTTGTCAGTTATTTCATTCTTGTAACAATTTTTCTAAATTGTATCCCATTCAAACTTGTTTATTTCGTTTTAAATAACACATTTGAAATAAAAAAATATATTTGTTGGCTGAGAAGCAGAAATAAAAATATGAAAAACTATCACACTGCCTCCTCCAAAAGCTGTTTGGCCAAAGCAGGATTTGAAAAGTTTTTCATGGGTCCACTCTCTCAACTAACAAAATAACTTTTCTTACAAATGTGTCTTTGGGTTTTGTGTTATTTATAAAACAAATACTCTAATTTATGGAGTGTACTCTAATTTATAATTCCTACAGTCTGTAAACTCAACATTCAAATTTTACATCCTGGAAAAGGAGAATTTAATGCGAACAAATGAGACAAAACCTATTTTTTTTACAATAGCTGCATTCTGCAATACGAACACATTGTGATCACACCCTCACAGCTCTGCAGGAAGGTGCTATACTGCCATATTTTTGATGAATTTTTGCAGTTCCTTCTCCCCCCCCCCAATGTGCACGTCAATGTAATTAAGCCTCATTTATCCAAAATGCCTCAGCAAGACAGCAAGCAGATATAGTTAGGTGTGGGCGTTACGTATTGTGGTCTCTATGTTTATCTTCACACTCTTATTCCAGGTCTGGTTTTCTGGGAACAATTATGTTATTGTTGTAGGGAGATTGCTGCACACCCTCTCATAAAAGAAGACAATGTCTCAGAAGCATGTGAAGAAAATATGACAAGAGTAGCAAATCATATAGTAAGAATACAGACGCTGTTTCTATTCTATGAGCTAATGTGTTGTACTTAAGGAAAATATAAAACAGTTACGTTTCATAGCACAGAGTCATTTTGTTCCTTGTTCTGAACATGCAACAATGTGTCGATGCTTTGCATTTCTTTCGCCATTCCTGGGAGGTCATCTGCAGGCTTGGAGGCTTTCTTAAGTCGCTGAGGAAAATATAAATAATGTGATAAATTCTCCCCAGTACTTCCAGGCATACACTAAATAACAGACTTCATCAATGTTGAAATCTTTTGAATGCTTTATCATCTACTGACCTGCCAGAGAGAGCCTTTTTCTTTGGCCAGTTTGAAGATCATGATAATTGGGATCATGGACAGCGACGACATGGCCAGAAACCAGCCAATCCAGTAAGTCCACCAGGGATACACATAGGTGTTGTTGAACTTCATTGGCGTGTATCTCAGGAGCAAAAATACAAGAGTTGCCTTAAGAGGAAGAGAAAATTAAAAGTAAATTGTTTGAATCAAAGTGACAGTTTAACCATACAGATTATAACTATTTGGCCTCTTACACTGCAAACAAGAGGGGTGATGTAGAGCCAGCAGTACTTGAACAGGGGCAGAGGTTTGTAACCAATCATGTCTTCGATGTTGTCACTAAAGCGTCCAGCACCTAGAACAACAAAGATATGTCGTTTTACTAAAAGAAAAAAAGTGTGCAAAGGCTGCACACCATCTGACAAAAGCTCATCTACAAAAAAAAAAAAAAAAAAAAAAAAAAAAAGCTTGTAGAAGCTCATCTATAAATCACCCACTTAAGGTACTCAAGCCAAGCAAGTGCATGTCATTGTGTGATGTGGTGTGGCAGACATGAAGGAACTCAGACCGAAAGTTTTTTTGACATACACCTTTGGTCTTTTTTGTAGACCAAAGGTGTACAAACCCACCCAAACTCCACTTTGTCGATCCCACTTTCATTTTGAAACTATAAAGCAAATAGTTTGAACCCAAAGAGACACTAAGAATTCGTCAGGTGACTGAAATTCGGCGATTTTCGGTTTGACTACTCATTCGCCAAACAAAAACTGAAAAATCTGAACTTTTTGATGTCAGTGAATGCATCTACTTAAATACTATTATACAGTGGTGATGATAGCGCTCAACAATGCGAATGCAGTTACAGAAGGAGAAAAACTCAAGTTCATACTTGTATGAATAGTTTATTAGAGACTTTTTGTGATCTATTAATCATCCGCAGCTCAGTGTGCAGTTTTGTGTTTCATTCAGTTAATCTTTGTAAACTAGGCAAAATTGTTAATTCCTTAAAAATACAGCTTACATGGCAACAAGCTCATTTTTAACAGCTCCAATGCTTTTTATCTTAGTTTGCTCATTTTTACATAACAATTCAAGACATAGCCACAAGCCATTTGGGGGCGTGTCAGCTTTGCACATCTATAGACAGAAATTTTGCCCATTTTTGTCCAAAACTTCATTAAAGCTCAGTCAGATTGAATGAATAGTTTCAGCGACATTTCAAGTCTTGTCACTGTTTCTGAGTTGGGTTTTATATCTATGCTTTGACATAGACACTGGGCCACTCTAATAAATAGATATACTCTGAAATAAGTCAGTCCGTCGTAGTTCTGGTATTTAGTTTCATTGTCTTGCTGGAAGGTGAAATTCTGCCCAGTCTCAATCATACAGCTGCTAACAGGTTTTCTCCTTGGACTGCTCTGTAATTAGCTCCACCCATTTCTCATAAACTTTGATCAGCTTAAGTTCCAGAATTGTTTTTTGTCAAAGGTTATGTAGGGGAAACAGCAGAGAATGACAAACTTGAACACCCAGGAGGTGGGAATAGTTTTCTTCTGCAGAGATGCAACTCTGCATTAGCAGAGAAAGTTGGGTGACCTGATTAACCTGCATCAGTCTAGATGAGCAAGGCTGGTAGAGAAAAACCTTAAATGACTTTCAGCTTTGTTTTACGCAAAAATAAAATAAAACTCAGACACCCATGTGCTCTTCTTCTTCCACCTAACAAACATAGCTTACTTAGGGTGTTCGTCACATAAAATCTCAATATATCATTTTGAAATTTGCAAAAGGACAAAATCTCAAGGGTTATGATTACATTTGGAAAGCACTGTTTAAAAGAGAGAGTGACATTCAGCCATGTCTAAAGTTGGAATTAACTTGCATAAAATGTGCCAATAATCCACATCTGCTGAGAAGGTTGAAGACACATTTCAGTGTCTTTGGTTATATAAAGTTTCAGTCACAAATGTTTGTGTTAAGGAAAACCAATTTAATGAGATTTACTAGAGATTTAGCTGTATGCAAAGAGAGCTAAAACACAACAGACTAAATTGTTGTTCTATATGTCATCTGAGAGGGCTTAGTTAACCAAAATTGTGTTTAGAGCAGGTTGAGAAGAGAGTTTCAACAAAAAGGAAGGAAAACAGATGTTAGAGTAAGAGGATCCACGATGTGCCCCTTAGGACCACGTGACAGGCCAGACTGCAAATGCTTACCCTGCATCGACATTAAAGCAAGTTGAAACAGATTTGTCATTGACAGCCAGACTGGTTTTGCAAGGCCACTTAACCAACTGGGACAGAGATCATTAAAGTTAAATTGTCTTTAAAAATTGCATGTTGTCTTTTACAAGACATTTTGAGAGAGAGTCTAAATGTTACTGCAACTTAATTAAACAAAAACCTGCCTTACCATAAATCCATCCGATGATCACTGACTGGGAGATTGCCATTAGAAGGAGAGTTGGGCCGCTGCAAACATAATGATCAAAGATCTGCAGAATGTATGCACCAGCCTAAAGTTAAGACAAACAACAATTGTTGTTTAGTGCTTTTTTTTTTTACCAGTTTGTGAAACAAGTTTTAACAGTTACAGCTGCAACTAAAAAAATCGTAAAGCAGTTGTTTGCGATAAACAAATTAAAAAAAGAATAATGGTTTTAGTGTTACACGTGGTTTCACCAAGTTAAACATAAAATGCTGTTTTTTTTTTACTAACAGTTTTAAAACTATTCAACATTTTTATGGAGAGCATGTTTTCTACACGGGAGAGAATCCTTTGAGTGTTATGACAGTTTTTAAGAAGTCTGAGCCTAATGTCAGTGTTTTTCTGCATCTAACTTGCCTGACTTTAACTTTTTGGTAAAGTTGAAGTCAGGCAAAATCATTCTCTGTAGTATCCAGGATGTATTTTTAAATAAAGCGTTGGATCATTGTCCTCTGTGAAGGTCCAATGACGCTCGAGCTTCAACTTTATCACAGACTGCATGGCGTTTTCTTTTCTGATGTCCTGAGAGCCGATCAAATCCATCACATCAGATGGAACAAAGATAATGTGAACTAAGCCTTACAGCCATAATTATTGTGGATTTATTGTGCATCTTTAAAATGACGTCCAACAACTCACCTCCGTGACCATAAACAAGCCAAACAAAGAGCTAACAGTACAGAGCAGCAACAGAAGAAGCTCCCTGCGGTATCCTTTTCGGAGGTAGGAAGGGTAAAGATCCGTTAAAGACGTCATGTTGCTTTCAAGCCCTGCAAACTGCAATGAAGCAACATAATGGGAGCTTAATCCAGACACTGCAAGAGCAAAACTTAGAACAAAGCTTAAAGTTGTTATAAAATAAATAATTATGCTGACCTGTCCATCAATTCCCAATAAGATGATCATGAAGAAGAAGCACACAGACCAGACCTGAGGCCACGGCAGAAGAGTTACTGCTTGAGGATAGACAATGAAGACGAGTCCAGGACCTGCAGAAAATACACAAAGGAAGTCATGCAAGTTGCCAGAACTTTAGTCATATGAGATGGTTGCTGCTAATAAACAACACATCACTCATACAGCACACTATTGGTAGACTGCTGTCCAAAGTCATGGTCATATCTACAATGTACTAAATTAAATGTAGTAACAAATAACTTATAAACATCCAGCGGCTCTTTTATCAATTATCTTGTCATTTAAAAGGAAAACAAAGTCAATTCCTGGAGAAAAGAAGAGGCAGTTTACAGACATTCATGCTGGCCTGGAGCTTCTGTACCTGATTCAGCAACTGCAGAAATGTCAATTCCCTGCTTTGCTGACATGTAGCCCAGAACGGAGAAAATTGCAAATCCAGACACTATGCTGGTTCCACTGTTCAGCAAGCAAAGATAGAAAGAGTCTCTGCAAACCAGATGAGATATTTTAATTATTTGCTGTACAGACATCTTCACAGAAGTAAACAATTGGGATGACTTATTATCGTGCAGAGAATACTAAGTAAAACTCTTTTTGTCTCGTTGAATTGATCGACCTGTTATTTTTAGTTAGCTGGTGCAGAAGCTAGCTAAAAACTAACTAATGTGTGTTTAGAGCATACACCCATATTTGCTGCCCAGTTATGACTATGACTTTGGTGCCAGTATTATTTTAAAATGGTATGTAAAATGATCAAACTGAGAACCAATAGTAATAACTATTGGTTCTCAGTTTGATCATTTTACATACCATTTTAATTAATTACAGCAATAAATAGTAAGCTAAATAAATAATCTCTTGATGGTAAACTAGCGAATCTTTCAGACACTTTTTCCTCTCCATACATTGAATTCAGGTGTTACAATCCCATCTATGGCCACATGTTTAAAAAAACATAAACATTTGTGAAACAATATTTATGATATTAAAACCATGATGGAGGTTGTTTATGAGTTGGGCTTGGCTCTTAGTTCCGGTGAAAGAAACTCTTACAAAAAAATATATATTTTGGACTGTTCCAATATCACTGCGTATGGAGGACAAAACGAAGTCTATTAGGAGGCGAAATAACAAATTTAGTGTGGAGGAACTTGATTGTCTGTCTGGAGTCTTGACCTCAACATTACAGAACACTGTTGAGATGAATTAGAGATGAGACTGGCAGCGAGGCCATCACGTCCAGCATCAGTGTCTGACCTCACAAATGTTCTGGAGGAATTCTCATACAAAAACTCCTATGTGTGTATGCCCTTCCCAGAAAAAATATAGCAGCAGAGGAAAGCATTACAATATGGGGTGATAAAACTAATGTGTCTAAGGAAAAAAAGAAAAAAAAAACACACACACACAATATATATTGTACGTGATTCCAAGTCAAGAAAATCATAAAACATAAAAGTTCTGTTCAATGAAGCATCAAGAATTTGAACAGAAATGTTTTGAAATACAACGAGCAGCTTGGATCTTTTTATATAGAGAATTTAATTAAAATAACGTCAAACTTTTATTTTGAAATAAAAGCTGTTTACTTATGTAAAATAATACGTCCATCATGTCCTCACCTGTAACAGTTGTTGTTGTATTTGTTGTAGCTTCCAAATGTGGTCATGTACCCCAAGCAAATGGCATAGGAATAAAATATTTGTGTTCCAGCATCCATCCAGACCTAAAGAAGTCAAAAATAAAAGACTTTTAATAATGTAACATTTTTACTCATGCAAAAATATTAGATGCACAGCCATGTCAAAATTTAGGACACGGCGACAGCCTTTGTGTTTTTCCTGACATATTTTGACATGTGGATGTTTAGTGTCAATCTTGGCTTTATACAGAAATTCAATTAAAACAGGCAAATAATAAAAAACTAAAATAAAGCCCCATGACTACAAAATTTCTGGTTATTTTCTAAACAGTAGATCTGTTTGTACCTGTGGGTCAGCGAGTCGTGAAGGGTCCGGGTATAGGTAGTATTTGATACCGTGGAAAGCTCCAGGAAGTGTCATTCCTCTGAAGAACAGCACCACCAATAAAACAAAAGGGAATGTGGCAGTGAAGTATGTAGCCTGCATAAAAAACAAACAAAGAAAGGAACCCTAAAAGCATTTGTAATAAGTGAATGCAATCAGAGGCAACCACCAAATTTTGAAATTTCACACGTTTGGCAGCTTGGAAATTCATAAATACGGTTTCTAAACTGATGAGACAACACGTTATCCAACAAGTCAGCAGATGTCAAATGTTGGATTAATTACAAAACTCCCACTGTTTTTATTTTCTATTTACACACCCCCTCTTTGAGCATTACAAAACTCATTTATTCATGTGTGACAGAAGAATTAGCCTCAGGTTACCTCAGAGGCGCCAATGATCTCTAGGAGTTCAAGTGTCAACTAATGTAATTTGATCCACAGGCATTGAGGAAAAACACTGTTGGGTCTGAGTCAAGCCACTGTAGGTAACTTTTGTGTCACAAACACAAACACAAACTAGCTCATCGAGATGCCGGTCACCATTTCCACTTCGTGTTCTTCCAACAACATTCTTTAGGATTTGCTAATCCGTTGGGTCGCAGACACGTGAGAGTAGTAGCTTATGGTTTTACTTCCAACCTACGGGGAAAACATCCAGAAGGACAAGTGCTGTCTTTGCTCCCTTCCTGCACATGTTCACAAGACCGAAGTTTTATTTGAAGGAAATTTCCACCATCACAATTCAGTCCATGAGGTACAAATTATGTAATAAGATGGCATGAAGTTAAATTCCAGCGCTGCCGTGGACTTCTGCTAAATCTGTCTTCCATTACTGCAGCAAACTAGTGTGTGGTGCAAGTTTGGTGTTTTGAGCCGAGGTTACATGAATACAGCCTGAGATGTCTGTGCCGACGGTCGAGGCTGGAAAAAAATAAATAACCGGCGGATTTCTAACTTATACATTCCAACAGAAGGTGGCAGACAGTATTACATTTTCAATACATTCACATTGTTTTTATATTTATGCATAAGAAGCTTTGTTTGTTGGTAAAAAAATAAGATAAAAACATAGATAATAGGCGTGAAGTCTCAATTGTATTGTGAAAAGCCACAAATATTATGTTACTTTGGTCAAATAAGCCTAATCTGGATGCTATTTGCTGGTTTGTTGTGAATGATTTAGATGCATATCTAATCTACCATCTACCTGTTTATTTTGCATTAGAGCCACGTTTAACTTAAACATATGTGGAAATGGTTGGTTAAACCTGGTCTGCATCATTCTTCAGTGACTACAGATTTGATCTGTTCAAATGTAATTGTCCTGTGTAAACAACAGAAAGGAAAGCTCATATTTTTCATGAAAAATGTATTGAGATTGTATCATTTGCAACATGAAACATGCATACAGACTCAAATATATGCACACCTTCACAAATATTTGAAGAAATAGCTCTATGGACTTTCCACTTCAGTCACATGGTTTTTGCATCCACCAACATGATTTGTTCATCAGTTTGGCTTCTTATCAGAAATTGTAGCGATAATTTAAATGACTGGATTCTCATCTCACGCCTAGCTTTTGAACTAGGCACCGTCCGTAAACTTTCTACTGGGTCGAGTTTGGTTATTTTTGAAGATCAATGTCTGCCTGATCTTCATAATAGAGCCTTTAAAAATAAGCTAGCTGTAGTTTCTCTCAATGTTTTTATTGACTGCAGTATTCTTGTGAGAATTGTTTATATTCCTTTTGTCTCCAGAACAGCCGTCATTTACTTGAACACTCAAAAGGGCTCTTTTGTCTCAAGTTAAGACAGAGAAACAAATTCTGTGTTGATGGGAATTAACTAGACAGGCGCTAAATTCCAGTATAATTATATCTTAATCACTCAGTTATCCTAATGGAGCTCTTAACTCCCAGCATGCACTTATTTTTGGTGGCAACTGGTTGTGAGAGGAGACCGGAGACAGAGCCCCAAGCTATTTCACTTGTCTCCACTGGAGCCGGTTTTCAGTAATTCAACTGTTAGTCTTAAAACTTTCCTTTGTAACAAAACCCTTACATGCATCTGTTTCAAATAATGGCTAATTATACCTTAGTCATTCTAGAATAAGTCCAAGATGTCCACAGTCTTTGTAAAAAAAAAAAAAAAGACCTTAGATTTTAGCAAAGTTTTTAGGGTTTGTTACTCCTGTGAAAACAGACAAGCATAGGAGGGTAGCTGCTTCAAACATTTACAACCTTTTGATTTTATGAAGTAAACTTGGCAGCTGTGCCTTTGAATAATTAAAATAATTCAGAAATGTTCTTCTAAACTTGTGTACCTCCTTCGATAAGTGACAAAAATGTTATGTGATAGATCAACACATACCAGTGCCTCCTTGAAGGAAATTGTACATTTTTCCACATTTTCTTTGTACATTCCAGTGGCTCTGCTCTGTGTGTTGCATTCTGGGTGATAATGTGCCAAACTACCTTTAACTTCAATTTGAGCTCCAAACACTTTCACATTCTAAATAATTATAATGAATGGGTACACGGTGAACTAAATCATTCCACTTCATTACCATCTTTTTCCATGATTTATAAAAATACTTATCCAAGAGAAAACAACTGTTAATGGAAAAGATGAAATGCCCGTGCAGAAATACAAAATGGGGGGAGGAGTTTAGTTGTCCAAGAACCTCTTTGGTCCAAAAGTTTGTAAGTTTGTTTATTTTAGATTTTTTTGTTGTTGTTTTGTTTTCGGTAATCTGTAGTTAGTAGGTACTGGTTAGCGCCTTCAAAACGAAGTATTCATCCTTCAGATTAATTGTGAGAAGTGATGACACTTAAAATATCATTCCATTATCTTCTGTCTGAATGAAAGGTGTCCATTCAGATTAAAGCCTGCGTCCCACATGATGCACATTCATTTATTTCAGTCTTACCTTCCCTGTGGATCTCACTCCCTTCCATACGCAGAAGTAGCAGATGACCCAGGACAGAAAAAGGCACAATGAAAGGTCCCAGCGAATGTTTCCGATTGCCTCTATGCCCGTGGAAATGTTTAACACCCGTCGCCTGCAAAAAGCACGTGAGGTCATTATTGATAAACAAATATTTACAGATGCATGCAGACTCAACTCAACATAATCTAGAAACATTACTTTGCAAAGGAAATGTACAAGATCAAACAATAAAAGCTTCCTCTGGTAAACATTTTAAAGGCAATCTTTTTAAATACGTTATGTTTACTTTTTTTTATTTTTTTTTTTACTCATTTTATTTTAGCTCTTATATCTGAATTATCTGAATCAGATTATTGGGTGTCTAGTTGCGATTAGAGGCAAGTTGCATTGATGGACGATTTTGTTTCCATTTCTTTGATGACAACTACAAGAATGTTTTATATCTTAGCTTGATAGTTTTCAAATATGCTTGTTGATTATGTCAGTTTTTGGTGTTTTTTAGATGCACGAATCCTAATTGGTGACAAGGAAAAAGAATATCGGTCTTACAGCTGCAACAAGAGCAAATGAAGACTTTGTTTATTTGTCTATAGGGTCCTAATGGGGAATATTAATGGATTCTAAGCCAGACAGCTTTGCTGCTTCTCTCTGCAGGGGGACGGTAGTAAAGTAATTAAACATGCATAATGACCCCAAATCAGCAGGATTGTTGTGGATCTAAGCTACATCAAGTTAACTTTTGTAAAAGTTCTCAAGTCAGATGATTTGATTTCAGAAAAAGATAAAAGTGACAAATGTGAAAGCTGTCTTTATCTTGCAATATGATGCAGAACTAAATTGTTAAGTTTAGTTTCATGGTGCTTTCATATGGAGAAAAGGGTTTAATTATACTTACTTCTAAGTTAGCAACTTAGAAGTAAATAACATCTGTTGTTGTTATAACCAGATTATTTGTGTTAGTTATATTTAATCATAGTTTTGTGTTACTTCTATCTAGCTAGACATGTTTATTTATTAAACTGCGGTTAGTCTTGGTCCATGATCTTTTAATGGTCCAATGTGATGCACATACTGCTGTTGATCATGACCTGGTAAAATAAGCTACAAGGTCTTTCATCGTACTGTGTTGTGCAAAAAACACAAACTCAAATTTGTTTCATAGGAATTTTATGTGAAAGACCAACACAAATGAGTGCAAAACTGTAAAGTGGAAGAAAAAGTGACACATGGCATGTGTGGCTTTATAAATAAAGTTGGCATCCAACAGCAAGGGGACAATGGGAATAATTTGAAGATCAGTTTTTCTTTTACCCCAACAATCAGGTGAAAAATTTCACTCATGTAAAGCTGACTGAAAAGAGAAAAGGTGACATTGCACAGAAATGAATCCCATGCATGAAAACATTTCTTTGAGTAAATATCTTTGAAAATTATTTGCAACCAATTAGCTTCATATTTTACCTTACTGTGGTCAAGATCTGGGTCTGTAGTTTTGTTCACTGGTAATCTGTGTTTGGATTTGTTACTCTCGTTCTAATTATATCAGCCTTGTTTCTGTTCCACCTTAAATAAGTCCAGTCTTAGTTGTTTCATTTGGATCATGTTTATTAAAGCTGGAGCAGCGACACATATGCAGAGCACCAGCCCTTGAGAACTGACAGTGAAGATTCAACAAAAGCTTT